TGTATGTCAAACAAATGCTTTTTTTTTCTAGAATAAAAAATTAAAAAAATTTTTTATAAAAAAAATGATGTTCAAAGACTGCTGCCTAGGTGGAATGTAGAGTTCAGTTTTTAGTTTTATTATTTAATCAATAACAGTGGATATCAAATGGAAAGATACCAAAAATGCTGCCACAGATAGGATTCATTGGAAGCTTACTATACTATGTGCTTTATGGGAAAGGAACTAGATTATGATAATGAAAAATCAATAATTCATCTTTTAATCATCCTTTTTAGTCACATATTTTTTTCAATGTTTATCAGTGATCTTTTAGCTTTTTTCTAATCACCTAAATAAGTACTGAATAATTCCAGGAGTCAAAACTGCCTTGAAGGCACCCACCCACACACCACACATACTGAATTTAATCAGTTTAATGGGTGCCTCCTGTATTTCCTATTATTTTCTATATCAGCAGTGTCTATATGATATTCCTTACCATCTCACTGTTTTGCTTGCAAGGCACAGAACAGTTAACTCATATGCCCTCTCCTCGCATGGTGAAGACCCATCTCCCAGTAAACCTACTTCCCAAGTCTTTTTGGGACAAAGGCTGCAAGGTAAATATATTTTGTCAGCATGATACATTTTGGAAAAAAAAATCTGGATGGCAGAGAGCCTCTAATCCAAAACAAATCAAACCCTTTAGAAGTCAATTTGCCTCAAATACTGTCATCAGAGTTGCTAGTTACTTACATCTTTTTATGGATGTAGCTCTCCAAAAATAAATGTTGTTTGGGAGATGTCAGATGCCAGTCCATGCACTAGATCATTTGACTTATTTAACACCAGAACTCTTCATGTCATTTTTTTCCTTTACGTGGGAAGTCTTGCTAAAATTACAGTTTCCTCCATCAGAAATGATATCTTTTCCTGTGCATCTCACCAATCTATCAATCTTTATTATTGTCACAGATCAGCAAATAAAAGCATTAAAATAATAATAGTAGTAAAACATTAAAATAAAAGACAGAATAATATATTGCGATTGACGGAGTATTAACAATGGGCAATTACAGTTTGCCTAATTTTACATGCATCATAGCAAAATTTGGCTACCTTCAGAGAAACTATTTCATATTGATCTGGTAAAAGTAGTTGATAAAAGATCAGTATTTCTCAGATATTTTGTTAGGTATTTTCCTTATATAAATTGCAGAATACTGGGACCAGAGCTACAGTTTCAATAGATCAGTAGTGGGATTCAAAAAATTTTTTATTACTGGTTCCTGTGGGCGTAGCTTGGTGGGCATAGCATGGCTTGGTGGGCGTGGCAGGGGAATGATACTATAAAATCTCCACTCCTACTCCACTCCAGGGGAAGGATATTGTTAAATCCCCATTCCCTCCCGGCCTCACTAACCTGATTTCCAGCTCTGTTCTCCTGTGCAGGACAACAAAAGAAGACCCAGCCAATCAGCTGGGACTTGGGAGGCAGAGAATAGATGGAGTGGGGCCAGTCAGAGGTGGTGTTTGCTGGTTCTCCAAACAACTCAAAATTTCCGCTACTAGTTCAGAACCTGCTGTATACCACCTCTGCAATAGACCCTTGTCCACAAAGGCACAATCCCAGCTCATATGGTATTCTTTTTGTATCTTTCCTCCAAAATTGGTGTGGGAATATGCAGTGCACTGCATATTCCATATACCCCACCTACAAAGTTTTGCTAATTCTTTAGTAATATTGCTATAAAACATATTGGTTTTTGTGGTACTGCCACAAAAAATAGAGCAGAAATGATTTTTTAAAAAAATATTGGTCAGAATTGTAACAATTCTGTTTAGAAAACCTATCTAAAAAAAGTGAAGAGATTAAATCAGTGGTATTTCTCCTGAATTGAAGCAGATAAAGGGTAATACTTGTTTAAAGCAAGTCTAATCAACTGATTAAGTATTAATCACTTTGATCAGAATCTAAATCCCTTACCTGTCAATCCAGATTATATGTGTGTGTGCAATGTTAATTACAAATCAGGAGAAAATGGTTTTTACAATCTGGAATTTATTATTATAACTTTCTCAGAAAAGTCTTGACAAAAGAAAAATGTAAAATGTCTTGCAGATATAATTATGATTACATTGATGCTCCATCCCTGATGGATGGTCATTTCAGAGATATTTCCTTACCTACAAAAGGAAGAAGAATGATTAGGCAAAAAAAGCAGTGGGAGTGGAAACAACTTCCAACAGCTTTCCCTTTAAGTGTTACAGATGTGAACGTTTGAATAATACAGTAATTCTCAACTTACATATAGCTGTTTTCCAAGTTGAGCCCATTCTAGATGTAGAGATATAGCAATAGCAATAGCACTTAGACTTATATACCACTTTACAGTGCTTTCCAGCCCTCTCTAAGCAGTTTACAGAGTCAGCATATTATCCCCAACAGTCTGAGTCAACCTTGAGCCTGGTGAGATTTGAACTGCCAAATTGCAGGGAGCTGCAGGTCAGCAGAAATAGCCTGCAATACTGCATTCTAACCACTGTGCCACCACGGCTCTATAGACAAGATCACTATACTGTATTTCTTTGTTTGCAGTCTCATTTTAGTATTTACTAGTTATACTAGAAATCATGAGGAACCTGATAACATGATTTTTAGATTAACAAGTTTATTAAAACGTTGCTGGACAGGCCCCAGGTGCTCCGTGCATCCAGATGGAATTATGTGAGGTTGCCTGGTTGAGCACTTCTGCTTTATAAGATGCTATAATCACCGGTGTTTTTTCATTACTCTACACTCTTCAGTAGCAAAAACCTATCAATAGAGTTTTACGCATTCTATGTATTTTTCTTTACTCCAATGAAGATGATCTATATGGCTCGTAATGCAAAGGATGTTGCGGTCTCCTTTTATCACTTTGACTTGATGAATAAGCTACATCCAGATCCTGGCTCTTGGGATGACTACTTGGAGAAATTCATGATAGGAAGAAGTAAGTTTTCAGGAAACAAAGTGATGAGACTGAATGAGTTTGCTGCTCACTAACTGAAGAAAAACCCAAGTCAGGTTATGGACCAAACTTTTTTCTTTTTTAGTAAAAAAAAAAAAGTCTCTTTTTCAGGTAGGACATCAGTCACATGAGTTATGTTTGTATATCTTGTAACACTGTATGTCTAATACCTAAGTAGTGGCTAAAAATATACAAGTATAGTAAAGGAGATTAAAGTAGTCTCATTATGTTCAAATCCATTATATCCTTTTTATCCAAAGCTGAATTTGGGGGGAGGGGGGATGGTTTAATGCACATCTGCCTATTCTAATATCTGTCCTACTTGATCATAAATTGAGACGTACTATATTATAATAAGATATTGCTTGAACATTGACAATGAATAGTAGCTTTTATTATGGCAAAGACAACTCTGATAAATGAACCAATGTTTAATCATTCTTTGCACTTCTCTTTTTTAACTGTGCAGCTAGAACAAAGCAGTGTTAGTGCCAAAATTTAGGAATTTACTCTATCTACATAACCAGTTTGACAATATTCATATATTGTTGTTTATAAGGGTGGAAGTTGTGCTTACAAGTTAGTCTTGACTCCTAAGGTCAATTTTTGCAAATGATTTAGCATTGCTTTCTTAGGGCTAAGAGAGAATATCTGGCCAGCTAACTTCATGCTTAAGACAAGACACGGTGTTCTTATTTGTAGCTTGATGATTTTAATCAGCATACCAAACTGTCAGACATAGTAATTAGGTTCAGCCTATTATTATCCTTATAGACAAAGCTAAACCAGAATGTTCATATCCTAACATACAGTGAACTTAAGTACAGTTTTACTTTGTTTTCACAATCAGACCCTTGGTAACCAGAGTTTTGATGTAGCCACAGACTGTCAGCCACATATTGATAGAATATGTGTAACTTGGCCAAATTATAATAATGTCTTTCTCCCAAAAGCTGACATAAATAGAGGTGTGTGGCAACAATACTACTAGAAGTCAGTGTAAGCTATACTTGCAGGATGAAATAACTGAGATTATTATAAACATTTACAATTTAGAATTTTTTTAAAGAATTGGTTTTTTTTATAAAGTTTTTATTGGTTTTTAAGACAAACATAAACAAAACATAAAAACATCAAGCCATCTTCCATATATATACATACAGTGTGCCGGTTGGTTTACAAATTGTTTTGTGCTTCCATTTCATAATCTTCAATTACAATTACATTGTATATATTCTCATATTTTCAATCAAATATTAAATACATTGATATCATTGTTAATCAATCATTTGACTATACTTTTATTCATTCATGTTTTACGAAAGAATCCATATTTTAATTAATTTGTTTTATACATCTCAAATGTATCCTACAATCATTTTTTCGATATAATAAGAAAAGAATAGATCTTTATATATTTATTATTTTCTAAGAATCTACATATTTCATTACCATGTTTTATTGTCTAACCATTGATAGAATAGATCCCAAATTTTATAAAATTGTTTATCATCTTGTTCTCTGATTTCAAATGTCAATTTACTCATTTCAGCACATTCCAATATTTTTTTAATGATTTCTTCCTGTGATGGTGTTTTCTCATTTTTCCAGTTTTTAGCAAATACAATCCTAGCCGCTGTTAATACATTTACGATCAAGTATTTCAATTCTTTACAATATATTTCAGGTAAAATTCCCAATAAAAATATCTCTGGTTTCAAATCTATATGTTTTTTTGTCATTTTTTCTAACCACGTGTGGATTTTAGTCCAATATTTTTTAGCATCTGCACAAATCCACCACATATGATAATATGAGCCTGGTGTCTGATGACATTTCCAACATTTTTCAGATTTGTTCTTGAACATTCTTGCTATTCTTGTCGTGGGGGGGAATGCCACCTGTAAAACATCTTATACAAATTTTCTTTATATGCTATTGACATTGTCATTTTATAATTTTGAGACCACAATTTTTGCCATTTCTCTAGATCAATCCCATATCCAAAATTCTTCCCCCAAGCAATCATTGTTTCTTTGACTTGTTCTTCTTCTAGTTTAATTTCTAATAAATATCCATACAATTTTGTAATCACCTTTTCATCAGTACCTGTCAAAATCTTATCTAAATCAGTCAGTTTATCATAGAAACCTTCTGTTTTAGAATCTTTATCATACCTTGAATATATTTGCACATATGAAAACCAATTCATCTTTATACCTTGTTTCTCTAATTTTTGCATAGATTTAAGTTCACCCTTTCCATTCAATATTTCACCATACCTAACTGTTTGTTCCTTTTTATATATTATAGAATAAGAAAATGCTACAGTAGTCGAAAACCAGACTGGAATTTTCAAATAACATTGTCTTTTAGTCTTCTCCCAGTTTAACCACAGAGACTCCTGTATATAATGTCTTCTAAAATACCCTTGTGTTTTAGTTCCTTTATGCCATAGAAAGGCATGCCACCCCAACAACAGATCATGTCCTTCTAATGTCAACAATCTAGTATTTCTTAATGTTATCCATTCCTTAACCCACATCAAATTTGTAGCTTGGTAATACAACTCCCAATTAGGCAAACCAAATCCTCCTCTTATTCTGGCATCTTGCAAATTTTTAACTTTATTCTCGCTTTCTTACCTTGCCATATATATTTCAACACAATTTTATTTAAATCTTCAAAGTAATCTTTTCCAAGCCTAATTGGTATTGTTTGGAACAAATACATAATTCTGGGTAATATATTCATCTTGATTGTTGATATTCTCCCTATTAATGACAGTTGTAAATTTTCCCATTTCGCCAAATCTAGCGCTATCTGCTGCTTAAGTTTGATATAAGTATTCTCTTTTAGTGTACTACATCTTGCTGTCAAATGTATCTCCAAATACTTGATCTTATTCGTGACCTGAATTTTCAGTAGATCTGCCAATTCTTCCTTTTGTCTTGATAGCATATTCTTTCTCAAGATCTTTGTCTTATCTTTATTTATTTTCCAACCAGCCACCTTTCTGTTAGATCGGTGGATCGGGTCACATAAGAGGCAAGACGCGAAAGTGAACAATCAGCTCTTTAATTCAGCTCTGAGCAAGGACAGTTTTAAGTGTGCGAGCCGCTTGGCTTTATACAGCCGGCCGGCGGCTCGGCGGCCAATGGCAGCGCTTTGAATCTCCCGCGATCGGCTCGGCCAATCGCGGTAGATTTTTAGCGCTCCAATCACAGGCGTTCTGTGAACCAATCGGATTGCGGTCTGGGTGGACCAATCAGAATGCGAGTCTTCAAGAATGTTAATACAGAACACCCCTCCCCTGATGGTTTCGTCCGACGCAGTGTCGTGACGTAGTCGCGCAGGTAGGTGGGGCTTCGAACCTGTCTGGCTGACCTGCGTGGCTCAGTCGGTGTGTGGTCGTCGGCCGGTTAGGACGGGCTCCACGTCGCTCTCCACTTCGCTGATGGAACCGCCTGGAAGGGTGAGCCGGGCCTATCGCCGCAGCTCCCGCCCGGACTACCTGGGTTGGTCGAGTTGCGGTTCCTGTTGCTCTCGCTCGGTCTTTCCGGGCTGGTTGAGCTGGCTTGGCTGTACGTTCCAGGTGAAGATCCCGTCTGCGACAGTTCGAAGTCTGCTGGTGAGTATGGCTGGTTTATTTGAGCGTTTCTGTCTTCTGGTGGGGGGTGTTCGGCTTGCGTTGGGGTGTGTGCCGTTGATGATTCCGGCCTGCCGTCGTTTGCCGGCTTGGATGTTGAGGATTCCCTTCCCTCTCTGCTTTCCTTGGTTGCCGTTGCCGAGGCGTCGGGGGTGTTGGCGGCTAGTCTGGACCGTAGCTGGTCGATGTGCCGTTTCCAGCTCTTCCCGTCTGTCGTTTCGAGTCTGTATGATCGGGGCCCGGATACCTGTGTTATTTGTGCGGGAACCCAGAGGGGGTCTCCCGTGAAGTTCTTTGCGTAGACCGTGTCCCCGATGTTGAATGCCCGGTACCGGCTGGAGGAGTCCGGGGGTTTCTCTGGGTTGTAGGTGGGGTGTAGGCGGTCCAGTGGAGACCTCAGTTTCCTTCCCATTAGTAACTCCGCTGGTCTCTTGTTCGTGGTCGTGTTCGGAGTGATGTGCTGTATGAAGAGTAGTTTGTTTATTTTTTCCTGGATGTTGCCGGTTTCGATTTTATGGATGGCTTTTTTTGTGTATTGGACCATCCGTTCCGCCCTACCGTTCGCCGCTGGGTGAGCCGTCGAGGTTAAGGTGTGTCTGATGCCCCGTTCGGCTAGGTATTTTTAAAATGCCAGTGCCGTGAACTGTGGCCCATTGTCCGACACTATGACATCCGGTAACCCGTGTGTTGCAAAGAGTCCGTTGAGCTTGTCGATGACCGCTTCTGTTGTTGTTGCCCTCATAGTGCTTACCTCCAGCCAGTTGGAGTAAGCATCTACGGTGATGAGGAATGTATGCCCCTTGGTTGGCCCGTCGAAGTCTATGTGTATTCGCGACCATGGTCCTCTCGGGGTCTCCCATTCCAGGACCGGTGCGGTGGGGGGGGTGGCTCTCGATTCTTGGCACCTGCTGCAACCGGCGACCCATGTCTCGATTTGTTTGTCCATCCCTGGCCACCAAGCGTAGCTTCTGGCCAGGGCTTTCATCTTGACGACCCCCGGGTGTCCCTCGTGCAGCATTGCCAACACTCCGTCTTGTAGTGTTTCCGGTATGACTACCCGGTCACCCCAGAGTATGCATCCCCTTTGCGAGAACAGCTCAGTTTGGCGGTTTCGGAAGGCTCTGAACTGTTCGCCGCCGTCACTTTCTGGCCACCCCCGCTCTACCCAGCTCAATACCCGCGCCAGCCGTTTGTCTTTATTTGTTTCACGGGCAATGTCTGGCGCGGTTAAGAGTGGGCTGGGTAGGGTCTCGATTTGCAGGGTCGTTGTTGTGGGCGCTGGGTCGTCATCTAAGTCGGGTAGTGGTGACCAGCTTAGTGCGTCAGCGTGCGG